AAAATCTCTGATCTCTTTATCTATATTTATAAGTTCAACTAGAATGCTCTTAGGAGTGATTAGCTAGACCCTCCTAGCAGTATCTCTTGTCTTTTCTAGTTTTTTTAATCTTTTTTAAATTTGTTTCAAGATGTTCTCTATATGTGGTTTTCTTTTTTGTCTATGCATTTTGAATTCTTTTGGTCTTCCCTCAAAGTCTTCTACTTCTTCTTTTTTATTTTTATATTTCTTGCTTAGTTTTCTCTATTTTAGCTTTGAAACCTGCTTCTTTTGTTTAGTAAAATATTCTTTCAGATTACACTATTTTTGTTTCTGTACTTTTTTGTATAGACTCTATTTCTTTGTCTTTTTCTGCTACTTCTATTCTTTTCTGCATTTGAAGTTTGACTATGTCTGTTTTAACTTCCTTTTCTTTTTATTTTAAGACTTTCTCTTTTTCTTGTTTCTTTTTTTTTCTCATTTATCCAATAAACTCAAAAGTTCTCTTTATTTTAAGACTTTTTCTTTTTCTTGTTTTTCTTTTTTCTTTATTTATCCAATAAACTTGAAAGTTGTTATACATAATCAGTTTTGTTTAGGCAGCTCTTGTGTCTTTTTCTGTTGCAAACATGACTATTGCTGTTTTTTTTTGGTTTTTATTTCTATTTAGTGAAATGTAAACTGATTTAATCTCTTTGTTCTTTAAACTTCATAGTAGTAGAATTTCTGAGATGCTTTCTAATTTTGCAATTCTAATTATATTAAAACTAATTTTAAACATATATAATGTTATATAAATAAATTTAGAAAATATATAAATAAGAAATTTTGGTTTTTTTTTTTTAGTATTAAGGTAACCTTTTTAGTTCTAGTTTTTTATTAATATTTATATTGGATACATGTTTTATATAGATGTATTTATATTGAACTATTAGACAAGTATACAACTGGCTGCATATATAATTTTTCTATATTAGCTATTTAAGAAGTCTACTTAAGGGTTTCTTACTAGTTGTTATATCTAACATCCCTGTTTAGATGTTCTTTTAAACCCTCTGATCTAACTCTAGTATTAATTTTACCAGGTTACAGACCTAGATCTATTCACTTTTAATCATAGGACTATAATCTTTAAACTATTTTTATTCTTGAGGCAAACTTACTAAAGTGAGTCATATTTCTTTTTATTACTAATCTGGTTTGATGCTATAGCTAAGACCAATATTTACAATCAGAATTATTTCTTAAACTGCTATTAATCTTGTAAAGTTTACTTAAACCCTGGTACCCATCTTTCTGACTTCTTTTTCATTATTTTCTACTAACTATAACTTAGAATTAACTAACTTTCTAGACTTCCAATCTAGCTAGTCTGATATGGTATACTTATATTTTTTTTCTAATAATTTTGATAGCCTGGTTGATCATATGTTTCTCTACACATCTTTGTCATCTGGTTTATCTGATAGTTACTATGAAGATGTTTTATAGGCTTACATCAGTCCAATGGCATCATCAAAAGTTTGTACTACCTTTTTACTTAGGATTTTTAAGTGGGTTTCTGTCTTCTTAGTTTTTTAGTTTTTATGCCTAATGATCTCATCATGAGTTTGCACTGAAGCCTTATATAACATCAGTTTTTCATATTCCTCTATATACATATAATGTTACACTTCATATAGATGCTCTAAGCTTTCAATATCAGATGAGACCTGACTTGGTATATCTAAGATTACAGATGCCCAAAATCCAACCAATTGGCAAGAAACAGTTACTGTTAAACAGATATAATTTTCAAAATTTGTAGTTTATAGAAATTGAACCTTAGATCTACTACTTGAGAGTTAACAACTTATTCACTTTACTAGGTTACTACACTCATAAATAAGAAATTTTGTTTGAAAATCTTAAATAAAGAGTTAATATAATCTTTAATAATACTATTTATAAAAATTTTAATTCAAAAAAAGAAACTTAAAACAAATAATTTGTATAAACAAGAATTTCTAAATAAGATCATTATTAATCTAACTACTAATTAATCTGAATATAATATTTGTAATTCCTTAATTAAAATATATACTAAAAAGTATTGTAACAATACAAAACAGAACTATATTACAGAAATAATATTCATAGTTAAATTGCATATATAATATTTAATATAAAACCTATATTATAAATAAGCTATTTAAATTATATATTAAAAAAGTATATATAACTAGTTGTATTTTAATATAAAAGGTTTTTTAGAATTACTGTATTTTAATATTAAATAAATAATTTCTAATTTCAAAAAATGTTGAGTTTAAATAAAATAAATAAATAATTAGCAATCTAAAAGAACAAAATAAAAATTTATTTAAGTTTATTACAAACAAATAATAAAAAGTCAACCCAATTTTTAAAAATTAAAGAAATTGATTTAACTAATAATTAAATCACTATAAATAAAGAAAATATTAAAGAAACACAAATCTTGCTAATAAAGAAAGTAAAATATAAAAAATTATTATTAAAACTTGAATAGAGAAAAAAAATTTAAACAAATTACATATTTCTAATTTAATTCAAAAATGTGAATATGATTTAGAATATTAATTATAATTTATATGTTTTTTTTGTTTTATTAATTCATTTGAAAAAATTTCTTACAAAATTGCTTTAATATTTGCTTTATTAAACTGGTTGTAAAAAAAAAACTTGATGTATTGCTTTAATATACATATAATAATTATTTAATAAATAATTGTTAATATGACTAAAATATTTGAAGAAATTCGCAAATAAAGATTCAGAAAGTGAAAATAATTACAAATACAAATTCAAATTACATATAAGAACCTAATTTTTAAAAAATATTACATATAGAAATCTAAGTCTATTAATAGATAAAAAATGTTATTACGGAATTACTGTGCTACAAGGTATTCTAACCATTTAATTTTTATAACAATTGCAAAATCGCGATTATAAGATTATTGATTGTTTTATTATAGGCATTTAGAGTTATCTAAATATCAATTATTAGATAAAACAAATAAATAAAATGCTGATTACAATCATTTTTTGCTTAAATATTATATAATAAATAGTTATTGGATGCGAAACATTCAATAACGGATTTCTTTTTCTTTTTCTGTTATAACGTGAGTTTGTGTGAGTCTATTTGGCGTATAACAACTGTTATACGACCCACGTTTACTATGAAAAATAAAAATAAAAAATAATATTAAACTAACACAATTATTTATAAGATAATGAAGTTTTAACAGAATAGCTCTCAAAAGCAGAACAATTATCTTCATATTAGTAAATGTTATTCCAATTCGCGGTGCTTTACTTGATATCATAGTGATTTGTTATAACAATAACTGATTTTATACAAAGAAAATGAGAAAAGAAAATTTTAAATTTCATAAATTTCGTTTATAATTACTAGTTTACAATCTATCGTACTTAATAACTACATTTATCGATGTTTTTATTCTTATGCTAATAACGATCAAGCCATAGACTTGAATAATGTCGTTATTTTGGGCCCTTATATGTAATATTTTTTGCAATTATTTTTAATATGGGCCCGTATTTGTAATTATTTTCCCTATTTATAAATTCCCCAAATACTTATTATCATACGTCATACAATTTTTTATTTTCGATATCATACGCAACTACTTTTATCTTTCCGACTATACTTCTTTAAGTAATGCCGTCTGATCGATGACATACGGGCTTTAATTATCTAGAATATTGTGTACATGTGTACATATCTGATATAACCATAATTGAAATCCCGATGTGCGTCTGATAAGAAGGGCTGAATCAACAGAGGTGCCCTTTTCCTGGATCCGTATCATTTCACCGACAATTATTTCATCGACAGTTCATTTAGCTGACATCACACCAAGTGACAATTTACTAAAAATATATACCTGAAACTAATAAAACTCTAACATTAACCCCATGTGATGTAGGCTAAATGAACTTTCGGTGAAATGACTGTCGGTGAAGTGAGCAGCACCGCCTTTTCCTCTGGCAGCACTCGTATAAATTACCAGCACTATGAAAAACTTAGCTAGCATTACTGAACTACTGCATAAAACTTACTGATCAAATCGATACACATATCCAACCCAATCACATGGAATTATGATCACGTTTCTTACAAATTATGTGAAAACCATTTTACGCAAAATTACGTAATTTTACAACCCTAGTAGTATATAGTTAGCTGGCAGTATTACCTAGCCCCCGGGTCCACTCCGACCCTAAACTTTGGTCGATCTGCTGGCTAACGATGTTACCCGGACGTCTCAAACTATGTGATGAATAGCATCACACGATTTCAGCAATAACAATAAGGAGGTAAATACCTCATGCGATATCATTCATCACATAGTTTGGGACGTCCCAAATAGTTTGCTACTGCTGGCGTAATGACATCAATTAACAATCCGATTTAAAATTCTGTATCACTAATTAAATAAATTCAGCCCAATCTCGAACTAGAGATTAGTTTTGTGTTAGTTGATGAGTCTTTTATAATGGATCGATTTTTTAAATTAATAGAAGATTAGCCTTATCGTATATGTTTTATGCGTTATGCGGTGACAATCACTTCAACCGTAGTTTCATCGACTAGAGTTAACGTACTATTAGTTTTAGCATACATATATATTTATTTATAGACATGATTATTTTGTTTGTATCTTTCATAATTTATTAATTCTCGGTTAAAGAAACTAAAGCTATTATCTTTGAAGGAGTAAAAGGTAATTAGAGTTTAATGAAAAGACATGTGTTATAAATATCGAATTGTCACCTTGGCAATAAAAAGTTATTTTTAATACATAATCTAAAATTAAGGATGACAAGAATTTGTACTACTTATGCGAGGATTCTGTCCTAGCTGCGCTTATGAACAGAAATCAAGTGTTTCACGTGTTGTTACATGATTAAGATTATAAATAGCGATAGTTCACTACTAACGCAAATTTGATCTTAAAACACTGTAAAATATGGGCTTTATTGAAGAATTTAAATCCAAAAACTTTTCTATCTATGCCCAATGGTATGTCATTTGCCCATTATAAAATTAACCATTGTTTTTATTAGAATTCAACAAACGCTTTGAATTCATACTGTGCAAGAAACTTTTGCGTCGGTTTGTATATTTTAAGTTTACTAAGCTTTGAACTTTTTATTTGTTTGATATAGGCTTGGTCTTTTATCGCTACCTCGTAAGCTTTACTGTTCATAAATAACTTTTTGCTTTGAGTTTACATTCGTACTAATGCTAAGGTTTTTCTAGTTCTTTTCTTTACCGGTATCTTTGCCTTCGTAAAGGGTTTTATATTTTCTATTTTTGCTTGGTACGCTTTTTTATCTGCCTGTAATAATCCAATTAAAATGTTCTAAAGTTTTAAATCATAAACTTTGTCATTTAGGATTTTATGCTTTATTCTTATATTCGTTGAAATACCTCTATGCATAAAGGTTAGTCCAGTGTTTATCGAAAATTTCTTCAATAATTGAAGATATATTTATGCTTCCGTTTTCATTGGCTTTATCTATTCTGTAGGTTTGTCCAACAAGTGATAGATTGTAAGTTTTGATCTTTTTATTCTTTAGTTTTCTCTTTAAAATCATTGTTCTTAGAACATTTCTATTTTATATAGTGATTCTTTTATCAAAAACTTCGAGAACCATTGGATTCGTACCGTCGGATATTTAGTGTGCGCATTTAAAAATTTCTGAAAGATGACTGTAGATTTTGCAAAATATTTATCTTTAATTCATTAATTATAATTTAGGTTTGCTACCTTGTTGTTCGTGTTTGCTCATTTTGCGACAACCTTATATGTTATTCCTGGGATTACATTACTTTTAACTGGCATTTGCTATGGTACTTTTTTTTTTGAATTATTTTCAATTTCTTTGAATACTGTGTTTACCGTATATTTCTCATTACAAATAGCGATTGCTGGTGGACTACGTCAACAACATGCTGCTAGCTCCTTTACGGGTGGTGATTCCGTGTAGATACGTTGAATGTCCAGTCTTGATGCTATTGTTTTCATATGATTAACAGGTCGATGTTAGAATCATGAACGTTTCTAATTCCATTTTTAGGAAATGTATTTACATAATTTTAATGATGTTTTGTGCGGATTTATTTTAAGCTAATTCTCAAATATAATGAGGACGGTCTTTTACTATTTTATACGTATTTATAATTGTGTCATTTGCATTTAAACCATTCAAATGTATACTGTAACATTTTAAAAATATACAATTGCAATGTTGCTGAGCCACAGGTCTAAGGCTTCCTGGATACACCGGTGACATTTGTATACTTGTTATGTGGTACAGTATCATATGATATTAAGCTAAATATATCAATATACATATAAATTGATTCCTAAATTGAGATGCATCATATTTGAAGAATCCAATACATATCATTATTGTTATTACTATAATTTTTAAGGAAACTTTTCCGTTTGATGGCCGAGGTGCACCTTTTAGAAGCAACTAGAACGAACGTATTGGATAATCATTGCGAAGATCAATTTTTTACAGGGGCTTAGCGTTAGGTTAGGCTAATCATTAGGACAGAACCGATTACTTATAACTCTGGTCGCATTTCCGAATCTGGCTAAATGATCTGCAAATTTGACCGGAATTATTGTCCGAGTTGGAGAAAAGGAAACTACTATACGATATTACTTCCTTATTATTCTGATCAACCAAAACCACGAAATATAAAAAATGCCAATCTAAACTGCTCTTGATGCACTAAGTAAAAGTGCCAGAAATGCGATTTTACTATATATCTATTAACTTTCTAGCTTATGTCTAACCTTAAGCCATAATATTAATTAAAAATCAGAAAATCAGATGTTAGGCTTTAAGCATTCTTTTTTTTAATAGTTTTGTCAATTATCTTTATTAAGTTTCTTGTATACATAGTGGTACAAAGTTGGCTTAAATTTTGACTTAACATGTTTTAGTTACTTTCATAATTGCTCAAAAGTGGTTTATATTTGTATTGATTATAAAATTAATTTGATTAAAAGGTTATATCAAGCTAGTTATTAAAGTTGTAAAATAATAGGTTTATTTTCTTTCTTATATAATTAACAACTAAGCTTAATTATAATTTGAAATTTTCTTTTTATTCGTTTTTTTTCTTTTGTAATTTGATTATGTTTATTTGTAATAGTTTCTTTTTTTTTTTTATATATCAATTTACTAATTTTATTTTTCAATGTTTTTATTTTTTTTATTTATAAGATTAAAAATAAAAAGCATATAAATTATTTTTATATAGTTTTATATAATATTTTGAAATTTTTATATAAAACTGATATATGTTACTAATAAATTTTTTTAAATTATATCAAATTGTTATTAAAATTTTATAAAATATAAATAAATAAATTTAACTATTATAATAAAATTTTGATCTATTTTAACAATATTAAAATATTAAATATCATTATTATAGATTCTAAACTAATTTTTTTTCATTATTGTATAATATCAAATAGAAAAAATAGTAATACATAAGTATATCAATTGAATATGAATATATAAATAAAATATTTCCAAACTACACTATTATTGTTATATACTAATAATATTTAGTATAATATTAATTTTTATTTCTGTCATTAAGATATACAAACTCTTTCTGCTAATCTCAATTTTACAAAAATAAAAAAAGTGTACATCAAAGTTTACTCAAAAACTACTCTAAGAA